TTTGACTGAATTACCAAATATAGGTGTGGCAAACTCATAAGTTTTCTCAATTTTATTCCATGGCAGTAGACAATATAAACTCAGCCAACTACAGCAGGATAAATAAAAGAAGATGATTTCCACATGTTATGATAATCCAAAGAGCAAGCTAGAGATTCCGAAATTAAATTGTGTATACAGTTTTTAAAATATGAGCCCTAAATATTTTATTTGCTTACTCCTCTCTATTTTTTTTCTCCATCTAATTAAAAAAAATTCAAACCAAGAAGATGAAAGAATTGTATACCTGCTACCTAAATTCTATAATTAATATTTTACTATGTTTGTTCAATCAAGTATCAATCCATATATTCATTCCTGCACTCATTCCATCTTTTTTTTAAAAAAGATTTATTTATTTATGCATACAAGAGCTGGGGTACAGGCCAGAGATGCGGGGGGTGAGAGGACTCACCAGAGACAGAGTGGGGAACAGAACTGGCAGACTGACTGAAAGACACTGCTGAGGGGAGCAGCAGGAGAGACAGGAGAGGTCTGCTGTGCCATGTGGGTTTCTCCCTGGCCGGCCGGGGATCAAACTTGTGCTAAAGAGGCTGTAGACTGCTTCATAGTGCGGTACTTAACCCCTTGTGCCGCCAAGGAGGCCCTCCATCTTTTTAACATATCCAGAGTAAATTGCAGATATTTGTACACATTACCCCATACATATCACAAAGAAGAATGTAATATCTGTTTGTATCCAGATCTAGTGAAACATATAATTTTTAAAATTAATTTTCAGTCTTTTACATATCAATATAATTTTGGGGATGCATTTTCATACCTCCATATGTACGCATGCTTAACTTACCCTGCACCAATACTCTTATGCCAAAGACCTATCCCCTTTCTTATCCTACCTCCTTTTGACCTCCCCCCTTATACCTGCTGATGACCAATGTATTTTCACAGACTCTATGAATTATTTTTTCCTTACTTTGACTGTATATGTTGTTCCTGTAGTTGATAGTTTGCAATTAAGTGAAACCATCGAGTATCTGTCGTTCACTTTATGATTTATTTCACTTGGCATAAACACCTCAAGATTCATCCATTTGTTTCCAAAAGGCACTATTTTATCTTTTTAAAAGCTGAATAGTATTCCATTGATTATGCAGCCCACAATTTATTTATTTATTTATACAAGCACTGGGTACAGTCAGAAGTGTGGGAGGGTGAGAGAACTCACCAGAGCCAAAGCATGGAATAGAACAGGCAGACCTATGAAATACACTGCTGAGGGGAGCAGCGGGTGTGGCAGGAGAGGTCTGTTGTGCCATGTGGGACCCTTGCCGGTGGCCGGGGACCGAGCCTGTGCTTCAGAGGCTGTGGGCAGCTTTAGCCCAGCACTCAACCGGTGCGTACGGTGCACCACCAGGGGAGGCCCTATTTTTTTATTTTTTAAAAAGATTTATTTATTTATACAAGAACCATGGTACAGGCCAGATGTGTGGGAGGGTGAAAGGATTCAACAGAGACAGAGTAGGGAACAGAACAGGCAGACTAATGGAAATACACTGCTGAGGGGAGCAGTGGGTGAAACAGGAGTGGTCTGCTGCGCCATGTGGGTTTCTCCCCGGCAGACCAGGATCAAACCTGCGCTGCAGAGGCTGTGGACAGCTTCACAGTGTGGTGCTCACCGCCTGCGCCACCAGGGTGGCTCATATCCCACAATTTATTTATCCAGTCATCTGTTTTGGGTACTTAGGTTGGTTCTAGACTATGGCTATTGTGGTTCTAGACTATGGTTCTAGACTATGGCTAATGTACTAGGAGTGGATAATGGGTAATAGGTGTGCATAAGTCTTTTCATATTATTTTTTATATTCTTTGTGTAAATATTTAGAAGAGGAATCCTGAAATATGTAAACCTTAAGTGATGAATGCTTCCAAATGAATGCAACAAGGGAACTGAAAACCTTATCAAAATATAAAAATTACCATCAATGCATACATTACCATCATGCTTCTTCCTAGTCAATTCACAACCACCATTGATTGGTCTGTTTTTCTTACAATAGACTATTCATTCTGTCTGTCCTTGAAAACCAGTGATGTATCATATTGCATGTGCTATTTTTATAGATTAATATTCATCAATATAACTTTTTAAATTTTTTCCATGTTCATATATATCACATGTACATTCCTCTTTGTTGCTGAGTAATATTCCATTGTATACCAAAGTGTGTGTGCTGTGACTGTAGGTGTTTGACATTGTGAATCAAAAGCATGAGTGGAAGGATGAGCCCAATCTGTAGTTTTACAGACCTAACTCAGAAAGTGATGGGGATTCATTCCCCAACTCCTCATGCTAACAACTTTAATTTTAGTGATTTAGATGAGTTGGGTGGTGATAAAACCTTATATATTTTGGACATAAGGTGGGGGAGAGAGAGAGAGAGAGAGAGAGAGAGAGAGAGAGAGAGAGAGAGAGAGAGAGAGCCAGCATGCTAGTGAATGCATTATATCTGAAACCTGGATGATATGTGAGCATAAAGACCATATGAAGTGTTAAGGCCCCTTATTCTCAGATTTTGTTACTGATAATAAAGCTGGTGATGCCCTCAAGGAACGGAGTATATGACAGATGTTATGTATTAAAACTATTTGCCGACTGCGAAGCCATGAAGTTAAACTCATACTTTATTTTAGAAAAAATCTTTATCATTCATGTTTAGATCTGAAATCCTTATTATTCTGTGTGATATAAGGTAGGGAAAAAGATAAATATGTATGTGTCCACAATGAACTAGAAACATTTTTAATAGACAATTATTTTTCCACTGTTTGAGAGTATAATTAGGTAATAAATCATATTCATCTTGCCATATATGTATGCAGCTGTGTCCATATTCTCAATTTTGTTCTATTAATCTATTCATTTTGTACCTGTACCATACCATAGATAGTGTTATATTCAGTCTTGAAATCTGGTAGTGTAAACCCTCCAACTTTGTGCTTCTTCAAATTGTGTTGGCTCCTCATTGGTCTTTATATTTTTATATATATTTTAAATCAGTTTGTCAGTTTCTGAAACATAGAATTTTTATTAGAATTGCACTGAATGAGTAGTCAAATCAAGGTGAACTGACATATTTAGAATAATGATTCTTCCAATGTATGACCGTGACATAATCTTCCATTACTTGTTTATAATTTATATAAATAATACTTTATGGTTTTATTAAGAGGTCTTGCACATTTTCGTAGGAATTAATTCTAGGTATTTGATTTGTTGATGTTAATGTCAATGACCTTGCAAATGTGTCAGATTTTCTACCTGAATTGTTCTTTCTGGTGTGTGTTTACATGTACCTTAGACGAGTGTGTGTTGTGTTTTGTATCTCCCTACAGGTACTCTTTTTCCTTGGATTGTTGGCTGATTTTGTTTTGCAGCCTTAGAACTTCAGTGCTTTCCAAAAAAGTTTCAATGTGAAGTTAATCTGGCTCCTTTTTACTTTGGGGTGACAACCGTTTGAACTCTGTACAACTAGGTGTAAACATAAAGTTCTGTTTTAATTTGACTAATCAGTCCATTTATATTTGATGTCATTAATATTATATTCAGGTTTACTTGGTTTGTATTTCTGTCCTTTCCTCACTATTTTGAAATTTGTAAAATGTTTTAGTCAATCAATTTTAGTCTCTAAAATAACTACTTGTGTATTAATTTATTATTATTATTGGTCATTCAATGTATTATAATATGCTCTTTTGACCTAATAAATCCTAATATGAATAGCTACTTTTGTAATTTTCCAAGTACTGATAGAAAAATGGAATACTTCAAGTCCTTTTATCTTCCTTTTGTATTATTATTATTTTTGTGCATTATTTCTACTTAGAGTTTGAAGTCTATCAGATCTAAGGAACATTGTTTTGTACATTATTATCCATTTCTTTTCAACTACATAGTTAGTCTTTTATTTTGTACCTCACATCTTCCCTTATTTTCTGTGTCTCTCTTAGGGATTATTTTGCTGAAAGTAGTCCTTTTGATTTTTATCAAAAGGCAAGATGTTTTGACAAAATTTCTCTGAAAACACACTTATTTTACCTTTATTTTAAAGAATTTTCCACTGAAGAAAGCCTTCTTGATCAGAAGTTATTTTCTTTTGTTACTTCAGACGAGACATTCCATTGTTTTCTGGCTTCAATTATTTCTGCTCGGAAAAGTGTCTGTTTTACTGTTGTTCCTTTAAACCTAATGTGTCTGTTTTTCTCTGGCATCTTTCAAGACTTTCTTCATTGAACTGGTATTCAGCATTTTATTATGTGTGCTATAGGTGTGGTTTTCCTTCTTTTTACCCTGCTTGATTTTCACTGACCTTCTTTACGTTGTTTATTGAAGTCGTCATCAATTTGGGAAAATTCTCAGCCATTATTTCTCCAAATATTGTTTTGATTCCCATTTCTCTCTTTTTTAATTTGTACATTCTAATTCCAAACATGTTAGATAGTTTTAATGTGTTTCAGATGTTGCACATATGAATCTTCAGTTATTTATTCTTCACAATTATTTTCATCTATGTGACATTATCCTAGCTTCCTATTTCCTATTTGATCATACAAGCTGTTATGCAATATATGGAGTTCTTAATTTTAGTTGCTGTATCTTTTGTTTCTTTAATTTTATTTAAGTATCTTGTGGATTCTTCTCTTTTCCTCTCTTTTTATATTTGTCTCTATTTTAATAAACATATTAATAAAAGTTAGCCTAAAAACTACCACTTATAAGATATGTCAACACCTGTAGAATTTTTTGTCAGTTTAAAATACTATGCTTTACAGAAAAATGTCAATTTAAGAGTTAATCATTTCAAAATTATAACTATAAATACATCTATCAGTATCTGAGACAATTTTGTGGAAAATTACATAAATTGCATCTTTATATACATTCTCAAAATACAAGTGAATTTATTTGAGACAGATATGGCTAAGAAATAGACTATAGCGCTTCCTTCAGCAGCACATACTAAAACTGGAACAATACAGATACAATTAGCATAGCCCCTGTGCAGGATGACACACAAATTTGTGAAGTGTTCCCTACTAAATATAAAAAGAAATAGATCATAGTATATGCATGAATATTGAGAGTCATGTATTTAAATATTTTTTTCAGTGTTCAGAAAATCACAGAAAAGGATATCAGAATGGGTTAATTCAAGATACCAGTGTTTCTCCAAACTGAAAGGCTGATATCACCTTTGTGAGAAAATGACCTTAGGTAACAAGAAAATGATCAGCTACCCCTTTCTGGTAGACAATCTCACCTGGCTTTCTGGACCTAGACAAGACCCGTGTGGTTAGTAAAAATGCTCCCATTGAAAACAGAAAGCTAAAGGGACTCCTTTATCTTACCCACACAAATCCTCCTCTGTGTCGGTTTTCAAACTTTATCCTCAGTAGCCAAATATAGACAGATAGACCTGAACATTACTTTGCACGAAATAAACACTTTTTAAAAACTCTGGCCCCAGTTTTACATGTTTTGGCTTGTAAAAGTGTGAATCACATAATATGTCCTCAGCAGCTGCCCCATCCTGAAGCCAGAAAATGCTTCTAGGAATGAGCGCATGGTTGAAGAGCACATTAACAGGACTCGGCTTACGCCGGGAGGCCAGCGCTCTCTATAAGGCATAATCATTTTGTTCATCAGAACTTGCTAATGCTTCATTATTTTTCTCAGTCATTATCTTGCTACTTATACAATTTTGTATGTTGTGAATTATGGGAGTTTTTGTGCATCCTTCAGGCACCCTCATCGAGGCTTGGTTTAATCCTTTTCAAAGCCTGTTGACTACAGTGCATGTCGACAGGGAAACAGGTGGCAACAGTGAGTAAATGTTGAGCCATATTTTGTTCAATCTCCATAGCAACAGGATAGAAAAAGGTCTATTAAGATATACTGGTTCCTGCAAAGAGAGAGAGGCAATGAGATGCTCCTTCCTTATTTCTATTTATCCTCAGTCTTATTTCTCCCATTTTCCTCTAAAAGATAATAAATGAAAAAATGGAGAACACAGGTAGGAAAAATCCTACTATTACACAAATAATATCATGTAGGGTCTGTGAAGATATCCCAAGATAAGGTACTTCCTGCGTGGCCCCCTCTCAATTGGCAGCAGGGTGTACTATTGGTACCAATTATTGGATCCCACTTTCTTATTAGAATGTTTTATTGACCCATCCCAATACTTAGACATGTGACTTGCTTTGGGCAATGCAACGTGAGCAGAAAAGATGAATGTCACACTCAAGCCTATGCCTAATGTCATCACCTGTGTCTGTGATGGCTTTTGTTGCTCCTGTCACCAGGAGGGCACGTTCTTCAAAAGGACACCAGAATAAAGAAAAACGGGTGGGAAGAGCACAAGGGACTATAGTGATGGTTCACGGGTGAATGGGTGGTGGGAATTTCATGGGGACTATAACTGAGATGAAAATGCACACTGTACAAAAATGAAAAATGATGTAAAAATATATAAAATACTAATTAAATAATAAAGATTCTGGGGCCTCCCTGGTGGCGCTAGGGGTTAAGCACAGCACTATGAAGCAATGTGAAGCCTCTGCAGCAAGAATTCGATCTCTGTCTGGCCAGGGAGCTACCCACATGGCTCAGAAGACCTCTCCTGTCACACCCACTGCTCCCCTCAGCAGTGTATTTCAGTCAGTCTCCCTGTTCTGTTTTCCACTCTGTCTCTGGTGAATCCTCTCACCCCCTCTCACCCCTGGCCTGTACCCCAGCTTGTGTATGCATGAATAAATAAATCTTTTAAAAAATAAAGACCCTATCCCCCTCCCAAAAAAAAGAAAAGAAAACACATGGAGAACTGCACTTGCTCCTCATCAGATTCACAGCCACTGTTAATATGAACAAGAAGATAATGTTTGGAATATGAATACCTGAGCTTTTTATGGTCATTTCTTAAATACCAATAAACAAGTGAAAATTAATGAATAAAGAAATGGGGATCAGTGGTGAGGTGTCACCAGAACAAATAACTCAAACATTCAGGTCCAAACAACAGGTTGTTACAAAGCTGTTATTGATGCCTAGAAAATGCAGAGAGTCATGATTTTATTGATAAAACATTTGCTAAAACTGTTGCATATGAGAACTTGTAATAAGCTTATGGATTTAGGCAAAGAGGTTGTGGATGCGAAGGTAACTAGCATGCCTCACTCATTAGTTACTCTAGAAAAGATCGTACAAGATAGGGATAATTTTACTAAATAACTTGTGGATTTGACAGCAAGATTTAAAGAATTGTTTAACCTCTCAAAAAAATAAAAGATGAAATGGAGAAAGAGGTAACAAAATTCAGAGTTAGAGCGAAGACCAAATCTAGGATGTGGCTTCACACCCCTTGCTACAACCTCTGAAATGGTTTAGGGACATTTCAATCAACATTTTGGCTATACACAATGTTTTGGGGGAACAAAAGCCTGAGCGCCTCAAGTTACATCAATATGCCTCAGATTATTTTTCCCAGTTTTATTGAGAAATCATTGGCATATATCACTGTGCAAGTTTAAGGTTAGAGTGTGATGGTTTAAATTGTATGAGGTCATTTATCACTTGATAGCATTTTATCAAAGGTCAATAGTGATTACGGAGGCTCAATGCTCAATAGGCTATAGCACATAGCCAAGATGTGTAACAGGCTAGACCTTCTAGGTTTGTGTAACTACGCTCTATGACATTCACACAACAAAATTGCCTAATGGAACATTTTGCGGAACATCTCCCCCTTAAACAATCTATTATTGTATATTGTGACATGATTACCACAATAGATACAGTTAACATCCATCTTACATAGCAACAATAAAATTAAAATAAAAAAGAAAAATATTTCTTAAGGAGAACGTTTAGGATTTATTCTCTTAACTTTCTTATATGATACAGCAATATTAACTATAATCATCATGTACATTATATCCTTAGTACTTACTCATAGTTGGAAGTATATACCTCTGTGCCACCTTCTTCCAATTCCCTCTGCCCCTGTCATTAATCTCTGTTATCTACACATATGATCTCTTTATGAGTTTTTTCCCCTAATATTTCATGTATAAATATTTGTTTTTCACTATCTGATTTATTCAACTTAGCACAATTTACTGAGGTTTGCATGTGGTAGGATTTCCTCTTTATAACTGAATGATAGTCCATTATCTCTATATCTATCTATTTATACCTATATCACCATAACTTTTTTATCCATTCACCTATTAATGGACACTTCGGTTGTTTCCATAGTTTGATTATTGTAAATAGTGTTGTTATGGACAAAGGAAGTATAGATATCTTTCAAGTTAGAGTATTCACTTAAAGTGGAATTGCTGGATCATATGGTAGTTTTATTTTTAATATTTTAAAGGATACTCCATACTGTTTTCCATAGTGACTGTAACAATTTATAAGTTCCTTAACAGTGCACAAGTGTTCCCTTTTCTCCACAACCTATCAGCATCTTTTTAATCTCTTGTCTTTGGCAATGGCCATTCTAACAGGTGTAAAATGATGTTACCTTAGGTAAATTTAAGTTACAAGTGAATATCTTAGAAAGAATTGTGGGTATGATTATTGACATAGAGGAATTATACAGAATAAAAGCTAATTACATTTTTATATTATTGTATCATCCAAGAATTCCAGCCTATATTAAAATGGCTTGTGACTGGGGCCTCCCCGGGGCGCAGCAGTTGAGCACTGAGTTGCGAAGCTGCCCGCAGCCTCTGCAATGCCGGTTCGATCCCCGGCTGCCTGACGAGGGTCCCACATGGCGCACAGACCCCTCCTGCCGCCCGCTGCTCCCCTCAGCAGTGTACTTCAGTCCTTCTGCCTGTTCTGCTCCCTGCTCTGGCTCTGGTGAATTCTCTCACCCTCCCGCGCTTCTAACTATACCCAGTGCTTGTATTAATAAATAAATCTTTAAAAAAAAAAAGGTTTGTGACTGAGACATAAAATGATTTTTGGACCCCGATACTCTCTTTTCCCCCAAGAAAGGAATATTCTTTAATACCCTATTCCAATGTGACCATGGAGGATGATGGAGAATTACGGATCTCTCAGATGTATAACCAAGAATCACACAGACAAGAGACCTGCTATAAGGTAGCAGGCACTGGGGCAAATGAAGGATTGTCTACCAATTAGCTAGGATGATGCATAATCTCTTTCCAGAAGGGTTTCAGAATTCCTGCAATAAAAGCCGAGTGCCTCCCACTCTTCCCACTTCTGAAGGAGAGATTTTACTGACATAACCTGCACCAAAATTCTATGTAGACTGGATATGGGGCAGACAACTTATCTTTTTAACTCTCTGGATACTAAGAATCAATGCATATGGGGGTGGGGGGTGGGGAGAGGAAGGATTAGGGTCAAAATAAGGGCAGGTGCAATTGTATGGGGAATATAACCAAAATGAAAGTACATGCATTGTGCAAAAATGAAAAATGATGTAAGAATTGCATAAAATAAAATAAAAAAAAAGAATCAATGCAGTCCAGACTGCTGTCATGAGATACAGGACTTTAAGTCTGATGTTGTGATTAGAATATATTTTGGAGATTTCACTGAGAGGAGGGAGTGAGTCTTGCATACTTGTGAGAAGGAAGTAATGTGTGTAAGAAAGGACAGATTGTGATAGATTCCATTGCTGTTCCCAATTGTTCCTCCCTGCAAAAAGATAGACTCTATATTCCATAGACTTTGGACTTGGCCAGAGGAGTACCTTTGGAATGTGAGCTGAAGTGGTGAATGCCACATCCTACCAGATACTTGAAGACCATTCAAGGATGTGTGATTGCTTTTCCTTTTGCTATAAGATGTGTTGCCCTAAAAAAAAAAAAAAAGTGTTGCCCTTTTCTGCTTGGATCCCAGAAAATACATCAAGCACAACTGTAGTTGACCACTGTTGATATATATGTGGATACCCATATATATATGGATAGATGGATATATATATATATATAATCCATCTATATACACATATATATCCATCTATACATATATATCCATCTATCCATTTATATCCATGAG